GTATTTCAATTCTTCATAATCCTATCGGTTTTTTTATTTTAACTAAATTGGCTCAAATGAATGAACCAATCTTGTGAAGTCAGACACAGACAGTCCCACCTGTGCGACCTTAAGCAAATTTATAGAGAAACTTAAAAAGTATAGCATTACCACAATAGTAAGGTTATATGAAGCAACTTACAAAGCTGCTCTTGTGGAGCAAGAAGGTGTCAGGTTCTGGACTGGCCATCTGATGGTGCACTGCCATTCAACCAGACTGCTTATGTCTTGTAAAAATGAAGTTTCTGAAGAACCTAGTTTCTGAAGAACCTAGCATCGTTGTCATCATGTTGCAGGTCTTGGGAGAGCTCTAATACTTGTTGCCCTAGCATTAATTGAAGGTGGAATGAAATATAAGACAAAAGTAGAGTAGAGCTAAAAGTAGTCAACTTTCGTATTTGTAGAATATTGTCCTAAAATGCACCTGCATGTCAAAGATACCAGTAGTCATGGAAATTACCATTGCAGTCAATAAAACTGGATTGCCAGATGTTACTGCCTTGGAAATGGAACTTAAGATGGGATCCACTTTATCGAAACTATTAGCCAACATGTAGGCTTGGTGAATGATAAGTGTAATGAAGTTTTCATAGGAATATTGATAAACAGTTTTATCAGACCTCAAGCTTGGCAGAATTTCAGCCTCTGTGTTTGGATTACGATCAACCTTTTTAGAAACATAGCAGAAAATTCTTGCTGTTCAGCATTTAAAACATGTTTATCGTTTTTATCAATTGACCTTTTCTGAAACCATGCAATACTGAGTTATAAGTCTTCTTCAAATCTATGCCCATGCCAGAATCTTGTCAAACTATAAGAAATTTAGAGACATTAGGTGCCAAAATACCCAGCACAATATTTGTGTGTTTTTAATATCACACAAAATTAAAATCTCAGGAACTATGAAAAATAGATCGTTTGTGGTTTACCCCTTCAGTCATTTCAAACATTGATAGTAGGACATATATGGCTCTTTGCCTACTACTTTTATGTTTCTATCTCCCATACTTAAAACGATGTACATCACGTTTGCGTAACTACTGATTTTGTTGGCTTTTGACCTAGTCTTTAAGATGATTTTTTAATGTCTTTCTATAAATCTTATTTTGTACAGTTATAAAAACCTCGATTTTGAAAATCACAAACCTCTGGTGGAAGAGTTCATGTAAAACCCACGTTGTACAGAACCACTTATCTTTAATGTCTACTGACAAAACATCTTAAAACTAGTTTAAAGTTTGCACTTTGGAATGCAACTCAAGAGAGGGCCTGAAAAGAGAGTGGGAGTGAGCTATTATTTTTGCAAAATGGTTTGCTTGTCTTGTATAGGACATATGGAATATGCTCTTTAATTTAGCAAATATTTTTAAAGGTAGATATGCTTTATTTTTATAGCTAAAATAATTCTTAATCATAAAATTTCTGAAAATTCTGTAATTTTCCTCATTTTTATTGGAATTTGTTTGCCAACTTTTATTAGAAGTATGATTTTTTTTTCCTTCTCTCCCAATCTTTTTTGCAAAAAAGAGAAGTTAGTGTCTACTAATGAATTCAGCAGACACCTAATATTTTATATTCCTGTTGAGCTGTGTAACTTAATATTTGTATACTTGACAATTTCTTATGTAATTTATAAAATGGTGCTGTGTATTGACGTTAATTCAATCATATGTTTATATTGTCTGGAATATATGAATATAGTTCTTTGGGAGAAATAATTTGTCAGTGTCCACCAGCTTGTAAAAATTTAGTCTGAGAGTTTAAACATTGAAATAAATACTTAAATGCAAAAAAAAAAAAAAAGAAAAGAAAAGAAAAGAAAAAAGTAATCACTAAACATGTGGAAATAGAATATATAACTTCTAAAACAGAAGATGGAAATGTTGAATTTAAAGCTCAATCCAAAAGAAGGCATAAAAAGCAAAAAAGAAAAAAAAAGGTGTAAAACAGATCAAAATAGAATGCAAGATTAAGATGGTAGCAGTAATTCTAAATATATCAGTAATCACCAATGTAAATGGACTAAATTTTATTCTTATACAATGGGAGTTATTTAATTAGATAAGTATTAAACTAAGCTGTATAGTTTTATGAAAGAGACACCGTAAAATTATGGATATGTAACATTAAAAAGTAGGATAACAAAAGATACACCAAGCAAATATCGAACAAAAGAAAGCAGGGGTCATCAAATTAATATGAGAAGAAAGCTTTATTAAAGATAATAGGAGTCACTACAGAAGGATCGATGACTTAATTTATCAAGAAGAGATAACAGTGCTAGATTGTTATGCATTTAATTACTCAGTTTTAGAATATATAAAACAAAAATTGGTGAAATTACAAGGAAGATTTAAAAATATACCATCACAATAGAAGAGGGCAAACAACCACCTACAACCATTCTAACATTCTCATACGGTGCACTTATGGCTTGGGATAAAACTTCCAAATAAGACATCCCCAAGTGTCATATCTCAGACAACTTGAATGGACTCAAAAAGTGGTTCTGATAATGACAAAAAGAATCTGATGTTGAAAACGCATGTGAAGAATGGAATAAAAGTAGTTCTTGAAATGAAAGTGAGGAAATAGCAAACTTTCTAAATTAAAAGCATATGTATAATTTAAATATTTGTGTATAAACCGAATATCAAAATAAACATTTTATTAATTCATTGACATTCAGGTTTAGTCAGTTTGGAAGATGGGAAATGAGATTGTCTTATATTTGTGAATTCCTTATATTAGGTGTATATGTATTAAACTTAAATGTGATCAACAATCTATTGTAAAAACATACAATTATAAATATTTATAATTTTTCAAAATAGTGAAACTATGCTTCAGGTATGATTCATGGCTTATTGGAGATGGAGGGATGGCAAACGTAATGTGGTTCATCGCTCTTGTAACAGAGTCCAGACTAAAACTCAGATCTAGTCTCAAAGTGGCATTGCTGGTTTTTCTTTTTATCAAAGCTATATAAAATTAATACCAACCTGTTTTTCACCATGATTATATATAAACTGTGCCTTCAATCTAAGTGCAATTTTTCACCATAAAGTCTACCTACCTCAAACTTTGCATTTGATAGTTTAAAAATGTTAATGAGAGTTTATAATAGTGAGAGTGTCTCAGGAAGAAGGAATAATTTGGATGGCCCTGGCCCCTCTTAAATAAAAGGGGAAAAAATGATAGAGAACTTGGAGAATGCCTCCTATTCCTGCAGACAGATTTCTCTTTGCCAGATGGAGACATTTAAAACCAATCCACTGATCAGTTTAAACAACAACAACCAAACAAAAAACAGCCATCGCGGCAGCCAGACACTGAACCTATCTGTGAGACCTTCACATGTGGATATAGAAAGAAGGTCTCTTAGATTGGACCTTTGGAGTAATATTTTTCCTAGCTCTGTTTTCTTTTTCTTCCTCTACCCAAATCCTTTACCTCCTTTCCTTTTCCTCATTCCAAATCCTCCCCACCCCAATAACAATTTTAAATCAATACTAAAGTGCTGCTTGAGAAGGGGAGTTGGGGAGTTGTTGGTCATTGATGAAAGATGTGCATTGGCTGTGTGTTTACTGCTTCAAGGGTTTTGAACAGATACCCACTGGTAGGTACCATTTTCTTCACAGTCTTTTGGCTGCTCTTAAGAATCGCTGCATTTACTTCACCTTGTTGCAGAAACTCAGGAATCTGTGGGTAAAGCCTTTAGAAACAATCTGAGAGCATCGTAAATGCAAACCATTTTGTTTATTTATTTAAATTTTTTTAAATTTCTCAATTATAGTTGATATTTAATATTAAATTAGTTGCAGGTGTACAACTAAACATAGTGATTAGACATTCATGTAATTATGAAGTGATCCCCTTAATAAGTCTGGTACCTACCTGGCACCCTACATAGTTATTATAACGTTATTGACTATATTCCCTATGCTGTACTTTACATACCCCAAGCCATTTTAGAGTTAATTTCGGATAGGTTTGAATCCTTTTTTGACCTGCTAATTAAGCAATCTACTACCTTCTCTGACTCCCACTTAGCTTCCACTGCTATTACATGGGAACAGGATTGCCTTATTGGACTATAATAAATGAGAGAGTGCAAAAGTTAAGTAGGAAAGTGCTTGACACATGTTCAACTATCCATTAATGGTAGCCATTATTAGGAATACTTTTATTATTATGTTAATTCTCCGGGCTTATTTGCACTGAGCAGTGGAATAGAGAGTCCATGAAAAGCAAGGCTGAGCTGGACTGTGTGGTCTGCTACCCATTTGAGAGTTGTACCACATGGAAGACTTTACTTCCCTGCTTTTTTGGTAATCCAGAGACACATATTTTCTATCTACTGTTGTTCTAAAGGTCATCTTGAATTGATTCAGCCCCGTTATGGTTTAAGCATATCCCTTTGTTAACCTGCATGTTAATATTCTGATTGTTGACATTTGACAGTGTACTTATTCCAACAATTTTAGATTCAATCAATGTAAGAAAATGTGAATTCTTAGAGAAAAAGTAACTTTAATAACTAGAGAATTTAATAGTAGTTTTAATTCTCCTAGGTATTTTGTATTAATTTTCCTATAAGTGTTTCCAGATGTATATGCAGTACATAGATCTTATGAACAAATTCTGGCAATTATTTGATAAATTATTGTCCGAAATTTTCTACCTCTGGACCTAGTTCAAACCTGAAAATATCAACCCTTTGCTTATAGCAGGGATAGTTTAAATCAATGAGACTAAGATTAAAGAATAAAAGCCAATTCAGAGCAACAGATACTCTAAGAACGGAGGTGAATTCAGCTTCTGTTTATTTTCAGCAGGTAATTTAACTTGTTTTCTTGGCCAGGAATAAATAAGACCAGAAAGGTTAGGCAAGCCTTATGTCTTATTTAGTGACTTTTCATGTTTGTTCTGATTTCTCTATTTTGTGCTTATGTTTTCAGGCTCAGCTACGTGAATCATGCAGAGGATCTGGCCTCCAAGCTCCTACAATGTTCCCCAAAGAACAGACTATCGGCACAGGCTGCCTTGAGCCACGAGTATTTTAGTGACCTGCCTCCACGGCTATGGGAACTGACCGATAGTGAGTAGGACAAATCCACATCCAGTCAAAGCAGGGACATCATTTTAGCATCTTTGTGTAACATATATGTAAAGAGATTAATATGTTTACATGTACATGTGTAAGATTATGTTTGTATATGCAATATGTGTGTGTGTGTGTGTGTGGAGGGAGAGATGAGGAGAGAGAGAGAACTAGAACGAGGGAAGGGGATTGTGTGTGTATATATTTAGTGGAATCCTGCCATTCGATTGCTAGCTTACCAGACACAGGAAGAAAATGGATTCCTTTTTTGCTATCTCTGCTCTGCAGTCTGCAGCTGCATGTCTTTGTATTTGATTATGTGTGTGTCCCGCAAAAATGATCTGAGCAGTCATAAAGGAAAAGGAAAATATGATTTACATATTTATGCATACAGTACTGTTTAACTGGCTGCAGTACAGAGAAGAAATGATCCATTCCTGTTTGATTCTCAGCGACCATCTTGATTGTAACAATAACCTTAAAAAGTGCTGCTATGCAGTGAGCTGACGAACAGAGTTGGCAATTGGTTAGTGTACTGAATTGACATGTGAGAACTGAAGACATGTAATTCGTTTTAACTACAAATGCTCTTGATATTCATTCAGACAGATCTTCTCTGGATCTTTTAAAACAAAACACATTCCTTGTTTTGCTTTTACAAAAGTGTTCATATTTACACAGCCTCTTTCAATTACATTTTAAATATTTGGGGGAGGATTTATGGCCGGGATGTTCTCATCTTTCTTCCAAAGTGTGAAACAGAATTCTTGCAAAACACTATTGCAGTAAGAGCATTTTTTTCCAATGGCAGTACGTTCTTTCCATATGCCAATTAGAGATATTTCTTCTCAATTTCATTCGAATTGCCTTAAAAATCAAAGTACTGCCTATATACATAGGCATTTATAATATTCTTATTAATCCTTGGGGATACATCACTTACCAGGTACATATATCACGTTATTTCTTTAATCTCTTGGACTTTAGACTTTTCCTCCCATTGTAGTATTGGATTCTCCTTGACAACAATTCCCTTTATTTTGGAATTAAGTCCTAGGTAACAATGCCTCTTGGGTATTCCTACCCTAAATCTTTTTTCGATAATCCCACATTTAATTTTAATTACTTTTTTTTTACCCTAAAGTAACCATAGATATATTAATCCACTACTTCCCCTATGTTTAGTAAATCTTCTTTAACGTTTCATATATTATCAGCCCATATTTATTTCATATTCTGCCCTACTTCCTTTCTAAAATTCTAGCCACTGCCTGTTACAACAGCTGTCCACATTAAAAAAATAACAAAGGTGAAATCCCTATGGAAAAATAATGAATTGGAGACATAGCTTCCTGTACTAAAAAAAAAAAAAAAAAAAAGGGCTCATTAGTTTATGGCTCATCAAACTCAAACATATGATTTGTTTTCCCATTTATAACTTGTAACTTGTAACTCGATATCACTCCTCCTTAGTGACATCTCAATCCCATCTGACTCCACGATTGCATTTAAGCCAGGATTTTGATGGTCTGTGAATCCTGAATTCTGTAGTAGTACTTTTCTGTTAATATGGACTTATTACCCACTTGCCACTTAGTTTATCAGCCAGTGGTTAAATCCAGTTTCTATCAGTAAGTAAATGCCTACACATTATCACTCGGCAGCAGGCTGCCATCGGAGACAGCCTTGTCCCCATCATTAACAAGCACAATGTATGCAGAACACCAGAGGGGAATTAAAACCACAAAAAATACCTCAGGGTGGTATTTTTAATATGAGAATTTAATTTGTAATTTCACAGATTAAGAATTTTGGCTGCATTAATCCCTTTATCAGCTCACAGCAGGCTATTTGCAGAAGCGTAACCATAAGGCGATATTCATTGGCAGAAACACGTCTTTGCATAACGTTAAACATCAGGAGCAGTGAAACCTTTTGAAGGGGGGAGAATAAAGATGAAAAATCATTATATTTTTAAAGCAAGATTCTACTAAATGCCTCTGGTAACAATTTTGAGTTACAGAAATGCTATTTCTGTGTCTAGTAGATAATCATTATGAAACATAAATCCAGTCACAAGAAAGGACAATTCCGGTATTAAATACTACAGTCATTTCCACTTAGAACAACGTGGTAGTCTTGGTAAACATGTTTACAAAACAAAGAATTCTGAGATTTTGGAGACTTTTTGGAAACTAGTTCTTTTAGGCAACATGACTAGTTTTGGTGACTCTTATCTAGGTTAAAATTCTGCAAACTGTTTTTAGAAATTCTTAAAATACAATTTTACATTAGTATGAAGTGTTGTAAAAGTTCACCTGGTAAACGGCTGTAATGTTGACAATACCCTCGTGTACTTCTTTTTCAAAGTGATTTGGTAGCCAGTCTACCTGGGAAGAAGTGTTGCAGAACCAGTAAATGGATTGTCTTAGCAACCAAATCATGGTTTAGATTCATCAGTTCCAGGAACCTCACTGCATTAGTCTGCTCAGATTGCTATAACAAAATACCATAGACTATTGGGCTTAAACAACAAACATTTATTTCTCATACTTGCGGAGGTGGGGAAGTCCAAGATCAAACTGCTAACAAGTTGGGCCCTGGTAAGAGTCTTTTCCTGGCTTGGCAGACAGCCACTTCACTGTGTCCTCACATGGCAGAGGGACAGTCATTTAAGATCTCTTTCTCTCTTCTTCTTCCTATAAAGCCAGTATTCTCATCATGAAAGCCCCACCCTCATGACCTCATCTAACGCTAATCACTACTATCCCAAACCCTATCCCAAAATACCATCACAATGGGGGTTAAGGCTTCACCATATAAAATTTGGGAGGGACACTATTCAGTCCATAGCACTCACATTCTTTAAAATAACTCATTGCTTTTTCTAAAGAATGTCCACAAAAAGAAAAAAAAATTGCAAGCAGGAAACAAAACTGGGTTAAAGGAAGAAGAGTGGAACGAAAATAAGTTCAAAGTGGACTTGAGCCTTCTTGGCCACTAGAATATATCGGACCCTGTGAGAAGAGTGTCAAGCGTCGTCAGAGTCTTGGCTGTATAGAGCACCACAGTCATTTCATGGATTATGTAAAAATGAAGTCGTATACTCATGCCAGACTCTTATTGGCTTTGAAAGAACATATAACAACATAATATCTTTCTTTATTGTTCTTTTCCTTAAAATCTCATCAATTTACATAACACCAAAATTTAGAAGCAATATATTTGTGTGCCAGTGAGGCAGGAATTTTAAATTTTCAAACAAGAATAATGATACAGTTACCTGGGGATCTGGCAGTTAAAGCTGGCTAATTCTAGTGGTACCCTGTCATTCTCCCTCTGCCCTGAAACCCCAGCAGCCTTGCCCCACTTCTTCACAAAGATTTAATTGCAGGGAAGTAAACGGAAGGCTGATTTAGAAGAAATTCATTACTTTTTTCAAATACACCACAGGGCATTCTCCTGTGTATACTATCAAGTTACATAAATTATTGAAGCCGAACTACCCTTGTCAAAGTAAATGAACAAAATACACTTCATAGCGCAGAGTCCTTGATTTTATTACATTCATTTGCTAATTCACAAAACTCAGATCTGCAGTAAAAGAAGGCCAACAAATTGGTGCAGTGCGAAGAGCACTGAACTGGGAATCAAACCACCTGGATTCCAGCTTCGGTTCCGCTGTTAACTAGCTGGGCAACTTTGGAGAAGTGCCTGGTGCTCTGTGCGCTTCCAGTTTCTCATTTAGAGATGCAGTGATCTTCGAGGACCATTCCAGCTATAGTGTCTGCAAGTTTTCCTACATGTTCCAAAATATGCCTTCTGTATTATCCTAAAACAACATTGTACCATTAATGTAGCCCCATGCCATCTTTTTAAAAATAAAACAAGCACACCCATTTCAAATCTATTTAATTTGCCGCCTCCAATTTCTAGACTTCCATTATCTCATGAATCCTTTTGAACCAGAGTTTTACACCCAAGACTCCAAAACTACTGTTTTCCAGGTCTTTTCCCAGCCCTCATTTGATCCATCAGCGGAATTTGACACCATCGACCACCGCCTCCTCTCAGGAACATTTACTCACTTGAATTCCAGAACAAGACTCTCCCATGGTTTTCCTTTTGCCTCTACCTTTCAGACTCCTTACTGGATTTCTCCTAACCTGCCACTCCTCTCACTGTTAGAATGCCCTTGGGCTTTCTCCTAAATCTTTATATCTATATTCATTCCTTAGAGCCTAGATGGTATCATCCGATCTTGTATGTAAACAAGTTTTATACATTGACAGCTTCCAAACGTTTATCTCTAGTCCCATCTTTCCTAACTCCAGATCGCATATCCACCTGACTACTCAGCATCTCCCTTTGGCCATCTCATAGGTATCTCAAAGTTAATATTGCCAAAATTGAGCTCCTTATCTTTTCCCCCCAGACTTGCTCTTTCTGTAGTCTTCCTCTTGTCAATACATGGCGATGTCATTCTTCCAGTCGATGGAAGTTATCTTTGACTCTTTTTGTCCCACCCATACCCAGTTCTTCCACTGACCTCATTGGTGTTACCTTCAAAATATATCCAGAATCGCGTTTCTTCTCACTTCTCTGCTGCTCTCACTGTGCTCCAAGTCACTCACCGTCTTCTTTCACCTGTGTTTTTGCAGTAGCCTCTTAACTGCTCTGCCTGCTTCTCTTCTTGCCTCCTGAGAGTCAACTTTTGCTGTTTGTTTCCTCTTTCTATATTTGTGCTTCCTCTTCCTCTAGATACAGATATGGCTTGCCCTCTCACTCTTTGGGTCTCTGTTCAAATGAACCTCATCAGGGAAGCCTCCACTGACCTCTTTCCACCCTAGGACTTCCAGTTTCTCTTCTCTGATTTCTTTTTCATCATAACGCTTACTACTAATTGATACATTTGTTTGTTTTCATCTGTTTCCCCCAAACGGAATCTACAAAAACAGAATTTCTTTTTGTTCTGATTTATACACTGCAGGATGCCAAAATCCTAGAACAGAGTGGGGCTCAATAAATATCTCTTCAGTGGATGAGAGAATGGCACAAAGAAACAGCAAAATATGTTTTCATCAACCGAGCTGTGGTTCTGAGGAGAAGGCACACTATCCTGTCATATGTGTGTGCAAATATGTGTAAATGTGTGTGTGGCTATGACCACGTGACATTCCAAAGACCAGCACATACCATAATGTTCCATGTGCTAGACATCCAAAATTGCATCTCAGTTTCCATCTTTAAAAAGAAAAGATTATAAATACATCTATAAATACATAAATGATAACTTTTCATTATGTCCACAGTGTCTTCTATTTTTACCGTCCCAAATGTACGATTGCAGCCAGAATCTGGAGAAAGCATGCGGGCCTTTGGGAAAAACAATAGTTATGGCAAAAGTCTATCAAATAGCAAGCACTGATGAGTACAACGTTCTCAAGAGAGCACAGGTAAGGTGATCTGCTTTACTTGCAAAGTAATATTGAATAAATATCAAATAGATCTTTTAAATGAAATATTTCAAATTTATTTTTTCTGAGTATCTTATGAGTCTCTTGTGTTCATTATGACATTTATCACAGATTCTACTGAGGCAGAATACAGTCAGTCATTTCCATATTTTCAGGCACTACTGGATTCTAACCAAAGTTGTATTTCATTTATGTAGTCAGAAGCAAACCATTTTAGTCAGAAGCAAATCATTTTAACTATTCATATAATCTTCATTGAGATGAGTAAAAAGTTAATCTTGGGCTATATCTAAGCCACAGACATGCTTTATTTGGCCTGCACAATTTTTTAAATTATTTGCTTTCATTTTAAAATGTGGAGATTTTACACAAAGATTTCTGGCTTTTCTGGAAAAATCAGCAGCTCTAGAGAGATTGTGTTCACATTCCTGCCAGAAGTTCTTGTGTCTGCCTGAATGGTGGCTGCCTCCCTTGGAAAGGACATGGTTCCCTGGGTTTGCTCAGCTGCCATGTGGGCCACTTCACCCATTTCTGATTCCTGCCAGGCCCCTAGTACAGACCTTATCACAGTGAAGTTTTGCTTTTTTTCCTATTCGATACTTTGACCTCTGCTATTCTACAGATAGGAAACATAATCCAAACAAGGTTATGTCTGGGCATGTCAGCCCAACCCACCCATCACATGTGCTTGACAGAAATAAGCACAGGACGGCTACTTCTGAAAAGGCGTGTCTCTTTTTATTGCCAGATGGAAATGTATAGGTTTGTTGGAATTTTATGCCCCTGTGTATATGTTCTCATTCAATGTAATATAACTCTCTGAAGCAAAGAGAGAACAAACATTTTTTCAGGGAAGGCTTTTTTTTTTTTTTTTGGTTTGTCCAAGTGAATCGGAGGATGTATACAGCATTGGAAGAACTCCTCTTTCTTCTCCTCTCTCTTAATTTAAAATATATTAACAGGCTGAATTGGCAGCTTAGCAAAGAGAGCAAATTAAACTGTCCACCTTGTCTTGTGGGTGACTTGTCAATACCTTGAGCTATGTCTGGACTTAACTTTTACATGCACTTAGTGTGGGGGCAAGTTTTGGCTTCTCAGGAGTATGGTGGTGATTTATGAATGATTGGTGGTAAAAGATTCCCAGATTAAAGATCGTGTGCAAATGCCAGTCAGGAAGTGTTACTAGTGAACTCTCCACTTTGTCCCTAAGAGTCTTCATTTTTCAGGTTATATCTCCCTGTTGGATAAAAAGTTACCTAGAAGCACAACTTTACTCCCTCGGTAGCATTTGTACTTCCATTCTGAATTTCAGTTGTTCAGACAAAAAATGGGACTGAGGTTTTGACCAGTTACCTCCTGGTTCTGAGAAGGGTTTTAATTCATGAGGGTTGCAGGCATATGCTTTTTCAAGTATTTAACCTGCATTACCATAATGAGGGCCCCTGGCTTTATAAATCACGTAGCCAATTCAGTAGAACCAAACAAAAAGTAGACTTCATTTGTGCCTTCTCCCTCATATACACATGCACACAAGTAAGTCTGAATTTTAATTGCAGGGCTGTATCCTTTCTTCTCTGCTCTTTTGAGCTCTCTCTGACCTGAGCCTGGCCAGTCAAAGCTGTTAGAACGGGTTTCAGGTTAGCTTCTCCTTATAAAATCAAATCAAGCTGACAGAACAGAAACATTGTCTATAAAGTCTCAAAAATTAATTGAAAATAGATTTTTAAAAGGTGCTCAGAACTGCAATCATCAGTATTTGAAAGCCTTTGAAAAACTGTATTTTCTTTGCAGCATATTTTTTAAACTAATTTAAGATTATATCTGCACTGTGGAAGCTCTTCCTATAGAATTATTTGGTAATAATACAAATATTTTCTCTATGAATTTTTTTTGTCTTTTTCACATCAACTTTTAAAGCTTTAATATCGTTATTGTTTTTGTTGTTTTCTTCCAAATCCAAATACTTCAGCTTGATTCAACATTATATTGATGAAACATCTAAATTTTTCTTTTCTCAGAAAAGCTTCAGGGAGGCTGTTTTCTAAGAATTTTCTGTCAACAGAAAAAAATTATTTTAATTTCTCACCTTTGTGGGTTTTAAATTCTAATCAAATGGGACCATCTTAGAGATCAAATAATATAGCCTATATATTGTCCTAATATATCCTGTGCAATGGAACTTATTCTGACCAATAGTTGAATACAAATTATAGATATTATAGAGCAAAAAGTCTACGTAAGTAAGGGCATTCATAGAGAAAAACCGGAATTCCCTAGATTTTGATGTTATTGATGAATTGTTTAGAGCAAGATGTGGCATCTTAAAATTTCCTCAAATGTCTCAGTTCCTTGTAAAGCCCAGAAAAAATGGGGAGGAGAAGGAGAAGAAAGACTGAAGGCCCAAATAAGCTAAGACTAGGCTAAGGCTAGCATTTCAACCATTTCTCTGAAGAGATACAGTGAAGGAAATATGGAAAATGCATTATATCACTTCTCTTTTTAAAATGATCGAGGTCTGAGTAGACAAAAATATTTCAGGTCCTAATTTTTCTCCCATCCCTCAATGCCAAATTGTTTCTTTACTTGCATACTAGGTCACTTCATTATTTAGTTAATAGTACTGGATTTGCATAAACTGACCTTAGTGGAAAAGCTAATGAGGACTATTTTTCTTTGCAGCAGAAAGCAATTTTGTTTTCTGAGTCCTCTGACCAAATTAAATGCAAAGAAGACCACACGCACCAAAGTTAAAAATGGAATAGGTGTCATTAGATGATCATAATACTGTGCTTCCTACATTTTGTTATCTCTAAAGATGTTAAAAGACTAAAGATTACATAGACTGTCCCCATTTTTTTGATCAGCGTTGAAGGGTAAGACACTCTTAAACGTCTGAAAGAGCCTTAAATGTACGTAGAAGTTTTCCCCAAGGAAAAGTCTAGAAGCTATGTTGAATACCATGTCTAGTAGTAGCACTTAAATTTGCATACAATGATACCAAACTAATTTAAGGTTATAAATTAAGCTTAATTTTCCAGTTATTCTTTTCTTTTAATTAATTTATTTTATGTATTATGGTGACATTGATTAACATAATCCAATAAGTTTCAGGTGTATAGTTCAACAGCAAGTCGTATACATATTGCATTGTATCTTCACCACCTACAGTTAGATTTCTTTCTGTCACCACATATTATTCTCAACAGACAAGAAAGTATAGTCATTCTGTCTACTTCTCTTTTTGCTGAATATAGGGAATAAATAAGAAAGGTGTCTAATCTTTTAGACAGATGTTTTATAATTTTTTTCTGAAATGATATGTGCTCATGGTACATCTCTTTGCAGTGAATCAGCCTGGTGAATTCAGACCCTCTTCAATTTGTAATAAATATACAGTTATCTGTCTAGTGCATGAAAAAATTTTATTTGGTTCAAGTGCAAGAAGGTTTTTTTTCTTTGCTTTTTTATTATTATTTATGCCTACAGCATAAATAATAGGTGGTCTCCCATCCAAATACTAACCAGACCCTACCCTGCTTAGCTTCCAAGATCAGACATCAGGCTTGTTCAGGGTGGCACAGCCGTAGACCATGGACTGTGGCTCCACTGGGGCATGAACCCAGGACTTTCTGCGTGTAAAGCAGACATGCTAACCGCTACACTACAGAACTACTTCCTCAAATGCAAGAAGTTAATTGTATACAAATTTTGGTTACCTTCTCCTTGCCTTATCACATATTCTCTTTGCTAGTCAACATTATTTAAGCATTACATGACAATAAAAAATGTGTTAGACTTTACCTACTTGATTTAGTCATCAAGCAATAATTTCCTACAAGTAGTATTTACCCAGATAAACAGGGTAGAATGCATAAATTACTTAAGAATTTTAATTAAATAAGGTTAAGTTTTTTTAAAAACCCAACTCCAAACAGGACACATTGCTTTGGTGCTCAAGACTCTGGCAGAGCCACTACCTGAACACTCAGGAGCCAGGGGTTCTCACATCCTGGGGTGCCAAAACGCCTCCCTGGGGAGCTTTTTAAAATCCAGGTTCCTGGGGTCCATGGATCTGCATTTTAAAGCTCCCCTAAGGATGTTGATGCAGGTAGCCTTTGAACCACACATAATGAAATATTCAGTAAATATTCAAGAATTATGTATTTATGGAGTAAAATGATCAACCTATTTGAGTCAGGACTGGATAAAGACAAACCAGGAAAATCCATCCCTCGTCCTCCCTTCCCTCTTTCTTAAGGAAGAGTGGAGTTGCGTTGTCTAACAAGGTAGCCACCTGTTGCCCTCCTCCACGTTGTGACATTATGGCAGCTTACTTTCTGTCTTTGCATCAGCTAACATTGCTTTCATCTTCTCTTCCTCTCATGGCTTCTGCTGACTTATTTACGCTTATTCATGAATCCTGCTTATTGTCGTTTCTCTTTGTCTGTCTCTCTTTTTCTGGGGCAGACTACTGCTGAGCTTTTTTTTCTCAGATTCAAACCCTCCTCGATCAGCTCTGATTGGTGTAGTCATCATTACGAAGTAAAGGGTAAGACATTGAACAAGGCGGTTAGGTCAGTCACCTCTAGGAACTGCTGGTTGACTGTTGACGACCCTGGGTCAGGCTTTGAGCTCCCATCCCGTCAGCTGAGCTGTGAACTGGGTGGCCAACTTTTTCTTAAGGAACCCCTCAGAAGAGGGCTCTGAGTTTAGCAGCCTCTGAAGCTTCTATGAAGGAAGCAGCATAGCCAGAAGGTAACTTGCATGGCCTGTACGCTACCAAGGAAAAAAAAATCAGACCAATACAGAGGGACACTCCAGTTTTAATGGAGTAACAACATCCTCATTGTGTAACATTTTTGACTAAAGTTCTTTTTAAGCCATGTTGCATTTTCTCAACTATAGACTCAAAAAGGAGATAATATCAATTAGTACTTATCATAATGTAATAAATTCAAGTGTTGGATCTAGCAGGAAGG